TGATGGTAACGAAGGTGGGGGGTGGCGGCCGTTCCCTGAGCTGTCGCATGATCCTCGCGTTGGGGACAGTGGCAGGGTAGTTGCGAGGCAACATTCAAACGAGCCCGCCCCCACCAAAGTTCCGTCAGTGCATCCCAGCACCCTGCCTGGGTCGTGGGTCAGAGGCGCGTTAGATGCCTCTCGGGATCTCTTAGGATGCCTCTCGGGGGCCTCTCGGAGGCTTATTGGTCTTGGGCGCATGCTGTTCCAAATGTCATTAGCTTCCCACTCTTTTGGGGCTTTCTTGGGGGTCTCTTGGGCCGTCCTGTCCTGGGGGCCTCTTGGGCCGTCCTGGGAGCGCCTTGAGCCATCTCGGGGCTCTCTTGAGGGATCTCGGGCCGTCCTGGAGCGATCTTGGGGACCTCCTGGGCCGTCCTGGGCTGCCAGAAGCTAGGACAACACGTACAAGAGGAACATTCAAAACTTGTCAAAAATAGTATAGGGGATGATTTTTTACTATGTTGGATCATTTTTGGGTATGTTCTGATTGTTTCCTAACCATCCTGTGGTGTTGGGTCGTCGTTTTGAACAGAGAGAGAGAGAGAGAGAGAGCACCCCGCGTCGTCCTCCTCTCCTCCTCTCCCATCCTCTCCTCCTCCCATCCCTGCATCGTCTCTGTTTCGGCACACCCCTCACACGCTTCGTGGCCCCATAAGGAGCTCCACGGAAGGTATCAGTGGTGCAGTTCGCGTGTGGGCGTCGCGCCCGTTTCGGCACATCTCTCACACGTTTCGTGGCCCCGTAGGGAGCTCCGCCGAAGGTCCCAGTGGCGCAGTTCGCATGTGGTCGTCGCGCCCGTTTCGGCACACCCCGCACGTTTCGTGCCCTCATAGGGAGCTCCACCGAAGGTCCCGGTGGTGCAGTTCTCATGTGGGCGTCGCGCCCGTTTCGGCACACCCCTCACGCGTTTCGTGGCCCCATAGGAGCTCCACCGAAGGTCTCATGTGGGCGTCACGCCCGTTTCGGGACACCCCTCACACGCTTCGTGGCCCCGTAGGTAGGTCCACCGCAGGTCCCAGTGGCGCAGTTCGCATGAGGGCGTCACGCCCGTTTCGGCACACCCCTCACACGTTTCGTGGCCCTATAGGGATCCCCACCGAAAGTCTCAGTAGGAAGGTTCACGTGCACCCGCCCACCTCCTCAAATCGGCACGCCCCTCAAACGTTTTGTGGCGCCATAGGGAGTTCCACCGACGACGATCTTCACAACTGCGGCACTCACAACTGCATTTGGTTGGGTCCTTCGCCAGGCTACTTTTTCATTGTCGTCCAAAATACGCCTGTAGGAGGACATGCCCGACCTAATATTTGCAACGTCCAGCTTTGTAAGGTCATTCAAACATCTGAGGACCGTTCACTATTATTGCCTCTTGGGTCTATCTTGGGGGCGTTCTCAGGGTTATATTCGGCCGTCTTGGGAGCATCATGTGCTATCTTCATGCCATCTTGGGCCGACTTGGAACGCCTCTGGACCATGTTGAAACCCCCTTGGGCCGTCTTGAGGCCATCTTGGGCCATCTCGGAGCGCTCGTGGGCCGTCTTCGGAGCCCCTCAGGCCGTCTTCAGGCCATCTTGGGCCGTCTTGGAGCTCTCTTGGACCGTCTCGGGGCTGCGCCCAGGAGTAGATCTATGCCTGAGGAGAGTCTGCCGCCAGGACATTAGGATCTGCTTTCCGTCCAGGGACCCCCAGCAGCCGCCACGCGCGCGTGTGACCGAGTACTCTACAAATACTCTTAACCTCTTACCGGAGATTCTGGCCCAGGGGAGTGCTCACCGGCCTCTAGCATGCGTTCTCTCTGCGAGGCCGCGGGCCACCCCCCTTCGCCGCCGCGCGAAAATTGTCGTGCCCTCGCGTGGAAGTGCACTTTCCGTGGCAGTACTGCGCGTTCTGGCATTGACGCGGGGTATGTTCGCTCTGATACATCCGCGCGCACGGTCGAGCGCATTGCGGGCGCGTCGTCAGTCGCCGTCGGATGTGGCTTAAGGAAAAGCCGCATGACACATCGATTCGTGCGGAGGCGCTGTGTGCAACGAGCATGCTCCGTGCCATCGTCGCGCGCACTCCGCGCCTTGTCTGGACTTCCAGAACTGCCCGTCATTTCCCGACATGGAGGCCGCTTGAAACAACAACATCGCACGCAGTATGTTTTTCCCTGAAAGGGCTAGGCCCAAGGCTCTCTCTCAGTAGGTAAACTGTCCCCAGCTCTCGACTGCGTAGCGCCGGCGAATTTTCTTCGATCCATGACGACTCCGCGTAAGGTAGGCGAGCTAATGTAATGAGGATGTCTCAGGCAAAGCGCTTGTTTTACGGACTTGTTGAGGATGTCTCAAGGGAAGCGTTTGTTCTGCAGAATTTGAGGGATTCGAATGAAACGCGTGCTCTACAGAATCCGTTGAGGATATCTCTAACAAGACGCTTGTTTTCACATGTCCAGGCCACTCGGGGAGATATTTAACCTGAG